GGCTCTTCCACGACCCCCCCCCGACCCTGCCAAAAAGCGTGTTAGGAACTGTCCAGGGGTCCTGGTGAGAGGAGAGTCAGAGTGAGGAGTGTTGCCCTGCTGGTTAAACACTGACCTCTGAGTCCATCTTCACAGTGTCAGGAGGTCCTGAGATGATTTTCCTCAAAATACATTTGTAAAAGGTTTTCTTTCTCTCCTCAAAGACAGGGTGTTCTTTTAGTGCCAGACCCAGCCCCTTGAGGGAACCAGAGTATTTTAGATGCCAAGAGCTGCTTTTATAGGAAATTTGGGATGGATTGCTGTTACTGCTTGTGGGATGTGTGGGTGGGAAGTATGCACAGATCAAATGTTGGGGCACAGAGAACCCTTGAGTCCTCTGGATGGTTATCCTGCATCGTGCAGCCTTCTTTCTGCGTATGAATCACAATCGCCGCTGTACACTTGCCCTGGCACCGAGAGTCTGCAGGTAGCTCCACACTTTCCCACATATTCCAGCACAGTGTCTGTCTTGCGTATTCACCAAGGTGTGCTGGTTGTATCATCAGCCTCATCAGGCCCAGTTCCCCTGGTGTGAAATGACAGGAGGGCCACCCAGTCAGGGAGGTGACCGTTGGTCTTAGGGTCAGGAAGCGTGGACTTACTTCCAGCTCCAGTCCCGTGTGAGCCTGTAAGCTTTGGACCGTTTCTCAGAGCCTCATTTTCGTCAGCTACAAACGGGAAGAGGAAGTCTGTTCACAAGCATCAGGATCAGGTGATGCACATGACTCTGCCCTTTGAACCTTAAAGGGCCGTACAGATGAAACACCTTAGGACAGAGAGTAGAAGCCAGAAGAGTTAAGATTCCAGAACATCCAACTTGATCTGTCCAGGGACTTGGCGCCTACACGGCTCTTTATAATGGATAGAATGTTGCCTAATTCGGATCCCCATTTTGGAATTTTTGAGATGCTTGGGGTTTTTTTGATTGTTTGTTCTATCAGTCCCTCGCAGACAGGACAGCACTCCAGTAATTCTGTGAGGCAGACATTTCTCCACACACTGCTGTTCTCCGATGCCCTGACAAGGCTGGCACGTCCGGCTCTGGTTTCTTCGGGGTTGTTTGGGGTGCAGAGCACTGCCTGCTGCGACACACTGCGTGCCTCGGCCCACCCTCTGCTAGAGCCCGGTCCTCCCAGAGGGAGAGGGTGCCTCAGCTCCTCTCCAGATTTGGGGCTGCCCTGCACCAGAGTTAGGGTCCTGCCTGTGGACCAGCACAGTGTCTGGTTTGGGGTGGCCGATATCTGCATGTAGTAGCTGATTTTGAGTTGGGACAGAACCATGAGGCTTGCAGTCAGATGCGGGCGACCCCCTTGCGGTCTGGAAACCTAGCCGTCCTGTTGCCCTCTCTAAAATGCCAGCACTTGGAGAAAGTAGTACCAGGACGGCCAGATGATTACTGGTAAGAAACACGTATTCCCTTCACTCCTCTTCCTGCAGATAAATGTGACCCCAATATTTTATTGCGAGCAGGCACTCTACCTTTCCGACCGGGAATTTCATTAGCAAGTGTTCGCCCAGGCAGCAGCCCTGCCGACGACCAGGTGTCCTCAGCTCCTCTCCAGATCCTGGAAAGCAGAGCAGTGAGGCGGGAGGTGCTGGGGGGACTTGGAGCCAGCGTCGCCCTTCCCTTGGGAGGCCACTAGGGAGCGAGCAGGCCGCCCCTCCTGCCTCCGCTGACCCTCGCTGGCAGATGGGCGCCAGGGCTGCCGCGCCCCTGTGAGCGGGGATTTAACAGGGCTTTATCTGGGGAAGAATGGGCTGATTAGCCGATAAAGAGCATGTAAGATGGTACGGGGCAGCCTTTGATGTCTGGCTGGCGCGGCAGGGAGCCTGGTGGTGAGTGACAGCAGCGTGTCACAGGATTACTCTGCCCGTGACAATGCCGCTCTCTGTTCTTGCCATGTCACCACTCTGTTCCAGCTACTTTTTCCGTTGTTACGCCCTTCTTTTGAAGGCATTTCTCCCCACACTCCTTCCATCCTCCCACCACAGCCCTGCCTCGCTGATGCAGACGGGCACTCGAAGATACAGTAGGTACCTTTTTTCGCTGGGGAAACCTGTCACTCCTGGAGGAAGAATGACTTTGCAGCTAATCTGCACGGGAACCGTATAATTGTGGGCAGGGTGAGCCACAGAGGGGCTTGACAGATTGTCCTCACCTCAGTCAGGGCTCAAGCAAATGCCAGTTGCTGCTTTTTGAGGACGGAAAAAAAGGTCCATTAAACCCCCACAAGTGTGGAGAGTTAACGCCATGGCCACAATGATTGTTTCTGAGCTGAGGCGTCTCCTCCGAAATCCATCTGTCAAGAAAGAGAATGGGTTCCTTATGTCTTGTATGGCGGGATAAAATAATAGCACTAAATTCTCTAAGTTATTCTGCATTCCATTTTATGGTGTTTACTGCCTAGAATAATGACGTTACGTGCAAACCAAATTGGTCAGACTAAGCAGAACCCTGCCCCGCCCGCCACACCCCAGACAAGAAGTTCAGCCAGGTGTCAGCGTGTGAAGCAAGGGCAGGTCAGGCGAGGAGCCTTGTGGGCCTTTCCGTGCAGTGACGGGAAGTTTTTATCTCATCTCTGTGCCTTAATGCCTTTACTGGACCGCTGCTCGGAAAAAGAAAAACAGTTAATGTCCCCAAACGAGATCTTAATCACTAGGTCTCTGACTCCTTTTTGGGCCCTCAGTTCTGAAAGGGAACAGTGAGTGTCTTCCCTCTGTGCCCAGAAATACAGTCACAGTCACAGACTCTTCTGACACCGACACGGGAGCCTGTTAGAGCAGCCCCCGCCCCAGACGCCTGCATACACGTGCACACCGAGAGCCGGTGCTGGGGGTGAAATATTGAGTGGCCCCTTGGCAACATGCATCATGAACACAGCATTTTCCTCCCGGGAAATGCAGTTCTTATTTTGAAGCTAGACAGATGCCGCAGTGCCTGAGAGGCAAGGGTAACGTACCTTCCAAAATTGCCGTCTTCCCAGGAGACGCTGAGACCCAGCACCACCGGCTCTGAGCGGGCGCGCCTGTGCTGTTTGCCGGGGTGTCTGTCTGTCTGTCTGTCTAGGCAGTCACACAACACCACACCCAGTGGGGGCTGCGAATGCCCCATCTGTTTGACACTCTGTGGTTCAAGAACGTAGAAACCAACGATCCCCAAGGTCTTAGTGTTTCTGTGACAGTAAGAGCGAGCGAGTCTGTTGGTTCTCAGCCAGTCTGTCTCATTTGGATTATGTGCTGTAATTAGAAAAAGCACTGCTTTCCCCCAACAGCTTCACTGTGGTGACCTAACACGGGCCTCCCCCCGGCTCCTGCCGTCTGCGTCTTTCTGATGCCGTTCTTAGTGCTTGGAAACGTTTTCGTACAAATTTTCTCAAACCAGCCGGCCCCGCTAAGTGTTACCTAGTAGTTCTGACTTATCAAACAGGTAAACAGCCTGAAATTAGAGATCGCTCCCGCCTTAGTACTTACTGGACCTGGGCGTGCCCAATCGGCAGGCTGGGCTCAGGGATGAAGGGGGGGGCCAGTCCCCTGGGTCCCGGCCCCACATCCCAGCCACCACCCCCGGCTCCACTGAGCACGTCCCTCACCTGTGACTTCCAAACTTGTCATTTAGCGTCCTCTCTGAAATAAGGAGACGTGCTTAGGGTGGTCATGTTTGCCAGACTTTCCTCACCTGTGAAGTGCTTTATCCTTCAGGTTCAAAGTAGAGAGTTTGCAGCCCTCCATTTGGGGGGCATTTTTCCTCATTGAAGGCCTTTGCCCTGCCCCTCCCTGGGATTCTCGTCCTTGCTTTTTCAGTAAGTGTTTTGTAACTTGTAAGAGTCGCTGTGCAGAATATACCCTGGTTGGAGAAGTCTGTACCCCTGCTAGCCATCTCCTTGCCCCGGCCCCCCTTTCCCTGCCCCCGGCCCCCCTTTCCCTGCCCCTGGCCCCCTTGTTCCTTAAAGGCTGGCTGTGGGAGTGTCACAGTGGTTACAAGTCAGGGCCTTACTCACACAGGCATCTGGGTTGAGTCACCGTTTCTGTTTCTATGGACCAGTGACTCGGCGCCTCTGTGCCTCAGTCCCCTCACCTCTCAGATGGGGGCCCCAGAGCCTCACAGCTGTCTGGGGACCAAGCCAAATGATGTGGATCAAGCGTCGACACGGTGCCTGGGATGCGAGCACGGGGGAGCACTTGCAGATACGATGACAAGGACAGCAACATTGGTCCTTCTCCCCAGCCCTCATCATTCTTAGAAGTGCCCCTGTTAGCTGACAGCCTTTTAGCACCTTGAACTTTTCTTATCAGGAACCACCTTGAGAACACGGTCCTTCCAAGACGCGCACTCAGACACTGCAGCCGCATCTCCCTGCAAAGCAATATTCTCATCATTGCAAGCAGCTTGCCTGCCAATTTTTATGTGGCATTTACAGCCTCCCTAATATCACTTAATTAGCTGAAGGCAAACCTGGAGTATTGCCCGCTGTGAGAATCTCAGTTTCGTTCAGCCAGTCGTCAT